GTAATCCATACTGAAGGCTGTGGTCTTTGATCTTCATCCATAAGTGCTTCAAGTCCTCTTCACTTTCAGCAAGCAAGAATGTGTCATCTGTATAACACAGGTTGTTAATGAGTCTTCCTCCAATCCTCATGCCCTGTTCTTCTTCGTATAGTCCAGTGTCTTGGATTATTTGCTCAGCATACAGGTTGAATAGGTATGGTGAAAGGATGCATCCCTGATGCACACCTTTCCTGACTTTAAACCACACAGTATCCCCTTGGTCTGTCCAAAAAATTGCCTCTTGATCTATGTGCAGGTTCCTCATGAGCAAAATAGTGTTCTGGAATTCCTATTCTTTGCCATGTTATCCATAATGTGTTATGATCCACACAGTCAAATGCCTTTGCATAGTCAATAAAACACAGGTAAATATCTTTCTGGTATTCTGTGGTTTTAGCCAGGATCCATCTGACATCAGCAATGCTATCCCTGGTTCCACTTCTCTTCTGAATTTGGCCTGAATTTCTGGCAGTTCCGTCGACATACTGCTTTTGAATGATCTTCAGAAAAATTTTACTTGCGTGTGATGTTAATGATACTGTTCGATAATTTCCACATTCAGTTGGATCATCTTTCTTGGGAATAGGCATAAATATGGATCTCTTCCAGTCGGTTGACAAGGTAGCTGTCTTCCAAATTTCTTGGCATAAACGAGTGAGCACTTCCAGTGCAGCATCTGTTTGTTGAAACATCTCAGTGGATATTCCGTCAATTTCTGGAGCCTTGTTTTTCGCCAGTGCCTTCAGTGCAGCTTGGACTTCTTCCTTCAGTACCATCGGTTCCTGATCATATGCTACCTCTTCAAATGGTTGAACGTTGACCAATTCTTTTTGGTATAATGACTCTGTGTATTCCTTCCATCTTTTGATGCTTCCTGCGTTGTTTAATATTTTCCCTATAGAATCTGTCATTATTGCAACTCGATGCTTGAAGTTTTTCTTCAGTTCTTTCAGCTTGAGAAATGCTGAATGTGTTTTTCCCTTTTGGTTTCTATCTCCAGCTCTTTGCACATGTCATCATAATACTTTACTTTGTCTTCTCAAGCCTCCCTTTAAAATCTTCTGTTCAGTTCTTTTACTTCATCATTGCTTCCTTTCGCTTTAGCTACTAGACGTTCAAGAGCAAGTTTCAGGGTCTCTTCTGACATCTATTTTGATCTTTTCTTTCTTTCCTATCTTTTTAATGACCTCTTGTTTTCTTCATGTATGATGTCCTTGATGTCATTCCACAGCTCATCTGGTCTTTGATCATTAGTGTTCAATGTGTCAAATCTGTTGAGGTGGTTTCTAAATTCAGGTGAGATATACTCAAAGTCGTACTTTGGCTTTTGTGGACTTGGTCTAATTGTCTTCAGTTTCATCTTGAACTTGCATATGAGCAATTGATGGTCTGTTCCACAGTTGGCCCCTGGCCTTGTTCTGACTGATGGTATTGAGGTTTTCCATTGTCTCTTTTCACAGATGTAGTTGATTCCTGTGTATTCCATCTTGCAAGGTCCGTGTGTATAGTTGCAGTTTATGTTGGTGAAAAAAGGTGTTTGCAAGGAAGAAGTCATTGGTCTTGCAAATTTCTATCATGTGATTTCTGGCATCATTTCTATCACCAAGGCCATATTTTCCAACTACCAATCCTTCTTCTTTGTTTCCAACTTTTGCATTCCAATCACCAGTAATTATTTATGCATCCTGATTGCATGTTCAATCAATTTCAGACTGCAGAAGCTGGTAAGTCTTCAATTTCTTCATTTTTGGCCTTGGTGGTTGGTGCATAAATTTGAATAATAGTCGTATTAACTGGTCTTCTTTGTAGCAGTATGGATACTATACTATCACTGACAGCGTTGTACTTCAGAATTGATCTTGAAATGTTGTTTTTGACGATGAGTACAATGCCATTTCTTTTCAAGGTGTCGTTCCCAGCATAGTAAACCATATGATTGGCCAATACCAGTCCATTTCAGCTTACTAATGCCTAGGATATCGATGTTTATGTGTTGCATTTCATTTTTGATGATTTCCAATTTTCCTAGATTCATACTTCGTACATTGTAAGTTCTGATTATTAGTGGATGTTTGCAGCTGTTTCTTCTCATTTTGAGTTGTGCCACATTAGCAAATGAAGGTCCCAAAAGCTTGATTCCATCCACGTCATTAGGGTCGACCCTACTTTGAGGAGGCAGTTCTTCCCCAGTCATCTATTGAGTACCTTCCAACCTGGGAGGCTTATCTTCCGGCACTATATCAGACAATGTTCTGCTGCTATTCATGAGGTTTTCACTGGCTAAGTCTTCTCAGAAGTAGACTGCCAGGTCCTTCTTCCTAGTCTGTCTTACTGTGGAAGCTCAGTTGAAACCTGTCTGGTGTGGGTGACCCTGCTGGTATCTGAATACTGGTGGTATAGCTTCCAGCATCACAACATGCAAGCCGCTATAGTATGACAAACTGACAGACATGCGGGGGCATCTTACATTAGTATGGTACATTTATTAGAATTAATGAACCAGTGTTGATACGTTATTATCAATGAAAGTCCATTGTTTATTCAGGTTTTCTTAGTTTTTACCCAGTGATGTTTTCTTTCCAGCATCACATCCAGGATACCACGTGACATTTAGTTAGCATGCCTCTTTTAGGCTCCTCTTGGCTAGGACAGTTTCTCAGATGTTTCTTGTTTTTGATGACCTTGACAATTTTGAGGAGTACTGGTCAGGTATATTATAGGATGCCCCTCTATTGGAATTTGATGTTTTTCTCATTGGATCAGAGTTAATGAGTGTTTGAGAAGAAGACCATTTTCATCACATTGTATCAAGGGTACATACAGTCTACATGATATGTGACTGTTAACGTTGACCTGGATCATCTGGCTAAAGTAGTGTTCATCAAATTTCTACTGTAAAGTTTTTCTTTCCTACTCCCTCTTTCCCCTTTCCATACTGCTGTTTTTGGAAAGGAGTCACTATGTGTAGTCCACACTTAAGGAGTGGGGGGTTATGCTCTTGTTCCTTTAGAGTAGAATATCTACAAAATTTATTTGAAATTCTTCTTCACAGGAGATTTGTGTCTTCTTCTCCATTTATTTACTTATTTATTTTTATCAGTATGGATTCATGGGTATTTTATACTTTGGGTTATAGTTCAATATTACTTTATTTTGTTGCTCTAATTCTTCCAGCTTTGGCCATTGGGAGCTATTTCAGTTGACATACCCCCATCATTGTGGGGTTTTTATTTGTTTGTTTTGGGCACTTCCTTACTTTCTGGCATAAGCAGATACTCCAGGCTCATCTTGTATATTTCCTGCCGTAGTCCTAGAATTACTGTAGCCATTTCTCCATGGAGCCCTGGTTCCTTTTATTGGAGAATGGTATTAGAAACCAAGATCCTGATTGCTTTTGGAGTATCACTTGTTTTAGGCTTTCTCAGCTGTCAGAGCAAAGAAATATATGTGTGTATACTAACCTGTGTATATACATATCTATAAATATTTCTGTGTGTAGCCATCTGTATCTTCTGTGAGTTCTTACTGAGGTCTCCAACTTTAACACAGTACCAAACGGGTCATTCTAGCCTCTTCCCTTTATTTGTAAATTCTCCCTCCAACAGTGAGAAACCTGGCTCCCATCATCTGCCATCCCCTTAACTTAATTGCTCACTTCCAGTATTGATGTGTAGTAGTATCTGAATTATTAACCCATACTCCTACAGGAAACAATTTCATCAGTCAGAATGCAGAGCTTATGTGCAATTTCTTTTGACTTTAATCTTAACGACTTCATTCATTTTCAAATGTCTGCTTTTTGAAGTCATCTCCAGTCATCTAGCTATTAGTGTGTATATTTCTGATATAATGAGTAACTTTTTGATTGCTCTTGTGATGAGAACTCTGAATATTTGCCCTTACAGGGAGTGCAATTGAAAGAAGAATGAAAGATTGGGAACCTAGTATGTTTTGACAAATTCATATTTATCTCATTTAATTCTCACAGTTACTCTATTAGGGAGAAAACTGAGGCTGAGTGGAGTTACACAAGGAAGGGATCGAGCTGAGATTCAAGCCCAGGTCTGCCTGATCTGAGAGCCCATCTCCTTTCCAACTTGTGTTGTTTTCACCAGGTCACTTAAAATCTAGTTATGGGAATGAGGCAGAAATAATTTAAAGTCTAATAACAAGGTATACAATGTATTTTAAAACTATAGCAGAAAATATAGGGCAAATATAGGATTAATTGTAATTAAGTGTTTGGATGTGGCAACTAATTTCTTTTTCTTTCGTATGCTGTTCGTGTATCTTTATTTTTTTGTTTTGTTATTTTTAAGCAACTCTGGAAAAGCTCTCATTTTTCACTTTTGGAGCAGCCCTATTTTTTTTTTCCCCATTGCCCCTCTCCTTTTCCAGGCCTACGTGTCAGCTCATGCTAACGCTGCCACCATCTTGTCTTCCAGGAAGTGAGTGCTTTTGGTGAAGAAGGCGAAGGTGATTATCTGGATGACTGGACAGTGCTCTGTAACGGGCCCTACTGGGTGAGGGATGGTGAAGTGCGGTTCAAACATTCTTCCACCGAGGTACTGCTGTCTGTCACAGGAGAACAATATGGTCGACCCATCAGTGGGCAAAAAGAGGTGCATGGTATGGCCCAGCCAAGCCAGAACAACTACTGGAAAACCATGGAAGGCATATTCATGAAGCCCAGTGAGTTGCTGAAGACAGAAGTGCACCATGTAGAGCTATGAGTCTGAAGGCACTGATCCACTCTCACCACACAGTGTTCATAGGTATCTGCTGCTGCTTCACCCTGGGACCCCTGCCACAGGTTCCCTGGGCAGTGGTTATATCACCGCTGAGATGAAGATGCATGACAGGAAACTGGCTGTGTTTGGAAGCTCCAGCCCTTCACACTTAAATTGGTTGCTCTACCGGACTTGAGTCAGTTCTTTCTGAGTATAGGACTTGGTGGTGAAGGGGTGGATGCTTTTTATTCATACCGACAAAACAGAGGGGGACATCCCTCCTAGCTGGGAATTTTTTACTCCTCAGGAGCTTCGCATGATGGATTGCTAATGTGTGTGACTTTTCCCCTATTTCCTTTCTCTAAAATGATCAAAAAAGAATTTCATTGTTGGTCACTGTGTTGTCATTTATTAGGTATGCTGTTTTATGATCAAGGAGCCCGGGTGGCACAACGGTTAAACACTTGGCTGCTAACTGAAGAGTTGGTGATTTGAACCCACCCAGTGGCTCCATGGGAGAAAGACCTCGCGATCTTCTCCTGTGAAGATTTCAGCCTAGAAAACCCCCATAGGGGGTAGTTCCATCACATGGGGTCGCTATGAGTTGAAATCGACTTGATGACACCCAACAGCATTTTATGATCTGCATAATCCTCAAGTCCTAAGATTGCTATCACTCTTACGAGATGCTAGGAACCTTCAGTTTGGGCCCTTTTGAGAACTTTACTCACATCCAAATTTTTTGTCTTTTTTCACTCCCATCCCAGGCACCTCATCTTTATTAGATTTTTGACTAATTATGGCTAAAGACCCTCGAATAATACAGTTAGTAAACAGACAATGAAGTGTTAAACTCTAGTTCTGCTACTGAGATGGGAAAAAGGGGTTGGAGTAGAAAGAAGAACTAACATTCACTGTCTGCTAATTACTAGGCACCTTATTATAGATCTTACTTCATTTAATCATCACAGAAATATAAGGTGGATGTTACAGTTTGACCAATGAGGAACACGAAATTTAAATAACTGCTTGAATTCTTAAAGCTAGTAAATTTTGGGATAGGAACTCAGCTGTGTCTGACTCAAGTTCTTTTTACTACACTATAATTGTGTTTAGCTCTTGGAAGACCCTTCCCTATTTTGGGCAAGTTTAGGGTTATCTTTGAAAAGATAAGTAGAAAACTTCTGTCCTTTGCCCACCTCACTTCCTCCTTTCCTCTGCAGGTCAATTAACAAAGTTTGCTCCTGTATTCCCTAAGCATGATGGGGTGAACGGGTGACTGCCATCTGGTGGACTTGCAGGGAATAGCAAAGCTTTTTATTCTTTAGGAAACTTTTCTATCTGCCTTAACGAGTTAGCATTGAATATCTAGGGATGCCAACTCTGTGCAAGACATGGCCCCTAACATTAAAAGGCATGGTCTCTTTCCTAGGGACTTGTGATCTCAGTAAATTGAGGCAATGAATTAGTCATCTTTTCTCCCTGTTTATTCCACTTCAGTTGCATTGATCCCTTGAGACCTCTCCAGAAAGTAAACAAATGATAAAATCAACACTTCAGGCTATGAGATAGTTGGGAGTAGGGGTGGTAACAGTCTGGGGAGAAGGAAGTAAGTGATAGGAATCTTGGCTGAATACAGGAAACAGATTGGACAAGATGAATGACAGTTGGGAGATAAAGGGACCCTTCCTTGGCTTGGACAGAAGTTTTCACTGAGTTGTGGGCATTCACCTGATGGGACGCTGCAGCTAACACAGAAATGTAGTGCTTGAGAGACAAGTATGACGTTGAAGAAATCAGTTGGTGGAGCCCTTGGGGAGATGTGAAATGACTGATAAGAAGACAGGGAAACCAGTTGGAGGGGAAAAACTATCTTTGGTGCTTTATCCGAGGGAGCCAAAAAGAGAGGCTGTGAAAAAACTCGAAGTATATTTATGAAGATTAGAATGTATGAGAGCAAAGGGACATAAACTACTCCATGATACTTATTTTGAAGTCCTCAGGATTTGTTTAGCTTGTACTGTATTAGTGGATAGATCTTCATTCAGGTATTGATCCATAGCATCATAGAATGGACTTTCGTCCAATTCCGTCATTTTACAGACAAGGAAATAGGCAAAATAAAGTTGACGTGAATTCTCGGTTTCATGTAATTGTTTCACAGATTTGTTGCTGAAAAGCAAAAGCAATATTCTTTATTTCTGTAGTATACCCTGCCCCATGCCCAGTTCTTAGTTGTGAAGTAGATTCCAACTCATGGCACCCCATGTGTGCAGTATAGAACTGCTCCATAGGGGTTTTCAAGGCTGTGTGTGACCTTTCGCCAGGTCTCTCTTCCGAGGCACCTCTGGGTAAGTTCAAACAACTAACCTTTCGGCTAGTAGTGCAGAGCTAAACAATGCGAGCCACCCAGGGACTCCTTACGCACGCAATAGATCAAGACATATTGACCAGAACAACATTCAAATAGTAAATTAAAAAAACTCATGGGTTTCCTTTGTTGATGGAATGAGATGGGATTTTTGAAGCCTTTTAATTACCTCCTGGTTTCCTTCTCAGTACTTTTCAGACAGGGTCACTGAGTAAGATGGGAGTGCTACTAAGTATGACCCAGGAGTATAATTTCCGCAGTACCCTCAGTTCAGGCCCTAAGTGACCCAAGTCGACTCTTAACTCTTCCGGGAAATGAATGTTGATGTTTTGAAAATGGAATTCTCCGCAGCCGAAATGAGCCGGCCAGATTCATCTCCAGACCAAGAAATAGGCCTGGGTTTGGCCATCCAGAGCACCACCGCGAGCGCCTAGGGGGCAGGACGTGTGTGTCAGCGGGTAGTCCCTCCTCTCGGAGCCACTCCTTTACTTCGTGCACGCAGCTGGTCGGCCCTCCGGGATCACGGGCACCCGGCTAGGCGGAGGTGGAAGACAGCTGGCTGGCTGGCTGGCGGCGGGGGGGCGGGGCTTGCGCGCGCTTACGCCTCCTTGCGCGGCGCTGCCCCTGCGCGTGCGGCTGGTTGGCCCGCGGCGGCGCTGGGTTGAACCGGCTGACGGGAGGGGGAGGGGGGGCCGGCAGGGCGGGGGTTGGAGCCTGGCCTGGCCGGGCAGGGGCCGAAATGCTTGTGTTCTTCTTTGCGCTGTTGGCCTTGCTGCTGGTTGCACTTGGTGCCCTCTTCCTTGGCCGGTGCGGGGCTCCCAGCCATGGCGGAGGGGGAGAGGAGGACGAGAGACTGAGGAGGGGCGCTCGCTGGAAAGAGGAGCGCGGGAGGGGGAGGGGGCTGACGGGGACGGCGCGCGGGAGGCGGTGGGAGAGGGACCGAAGAGGTGGCGCGCGACGAGAGGAGGGGTCGAGCGGGGGCGCGCGACCCGGGCTGACGGAGAGGGACTGGCTATGGGGGAGACTGAGGGAGCGGGCGGGGCCTGAGGAGATGCTGGGGCTGGAAGCTGAGGTGGTGTGTGTGAGAAGGGGTCCCGACTTGGGGGTCTCCCTTTCTCACATCACACACCTCTGAGTGTCCGCTTAACCGAGCGCAAAGGGCACCTGCAGCCTCGCCCTGGGGAGAAGGAGCTAGAGGTCTGGCTGCCCAGGGGAGAGCGGCATTTGAGCTTGCCGAGTCAGACCCCACAGAGCCTTCTTGCAGACACCTGTCTGGAGGGCGGGGCCGGGACAGAGACCCTCTGGGGAGTGTGTGACGGCATATCAGACACATCTGGCCCGGCTGCCTGTTTTGATTCATGTTGGGCCCTCTTCTCACTACCTCTGGGGTTCCTAAGGTTTTGAGGGATTGCTTTCTTCACCTCCAGCTTAGTTTGTCTGGTTTTAACGGGGTGGAGGGGGTCATGGGAGTTAGGATCTCATCGGTGTGGCCGAATGTGTATGACAGAGTGGTGTTTTGGGAGATAGGAGAGTTGCCCAGAAGATCCAGCTTCAGGAATGACCCTTTACAAGGTCTTCTAGGACCAGCAAGGGGTGTGGGAAGCCATAATTGGAGAGGGTCCTATGAACTCACAGAGGTTTCTCTGCAGGTGGTTTGTGGTCCGATTGGCCACCAAGTGGTGTCAGCGGAAGCTGCAAGTGGAGCTGAAGATTGGCTCCTTTGGTTTTTTTGAGATCCAGAATGTCAGTCTTAAGTTTTTGCAGCATCAGCAAACAGTGGTAAGTCCTGGGGAACTCCCTGGGTATTTTTTTTTAATCCTGGGTGGTTTTCCTAGTTAACCCTGGCCCTGCCATCTCTTTGCCAAAGTGATCTTAGAGATAGTGTGGGAACACTGGGATTGATGTAAGTTGGTTGTTAAAAATGCTTATAGGGCACAGAGTGTCCAGAGCACATAGGAAAGATACAGAAGAAAAGCACAGAAGAAACATAACAAGAAATAAGACAGCTTACTTTTCTAATCTAAGAGAGAAAACAGAACAACATACCCATAAAAGAAATACTAAGCAAGTTCAACTAACGTCATTATGAGGAGCAAGATAGCTAAGTGTTGAGAAGCCAGTGGAAATGGAATGGAGTGTATTTTGTGGAAGGAATTATACCACTTGCTCCTTTTCTATGACTCAGAACTTTTCCTTGTCATACTGCTCATGGCTTACCTAAAGCTAGTGTATAAAGACTTCTTCCACACTGTTTTAGGAAATTGATAGCCTGCGGATTTCCAGCAAACTTCTTAGCCATGATCTGCCGTGAGTACCCTATGTCCTCAGTAACCTTCTTGGGGAATATTTTGGGCTTGGGGTTTGTGGAATGGGATTCTTCTACAAAAGCCTCACAGCCCAAGGAGAGAGGTGGGTTCTTGCTGAAGTCTCCCTGTTAGCCTGGTGATATAAAAACTGGTGAGATAAATATTGACAACTGCTGTGAGACTCTCTGTGATTTGAGCTGTATTTCCAGGGAGGATGGGAGAAGGAATGTGAGGGAGGGGACTGCTATGGAAGGGATGGATCTGGTGGCAGCAAGGTCTCTCCTCTGGGCAGACACTATGTGGCATTGTGCTTTGGGGAAGTGCGGATCAGAACGGACCTACAGAGGGTTTCTGGCCTGTCTGCCCCATTCTCCCAGAGCACTGGGGTGGATCAAAAGGAGCTGCCTCTCAGCCCATCCTTATTGAAGATCTTCTGCCAGGTGAGACTTTTTATCCCACTTTTCTGGACTGTACTAAGGCTGGCTAGACTGTGCAAAGTGGCCAGTTTGTGGGTGGATTTTTCCACTAATTTTGGGGAATAATGTTACGAGCTGCCTTTCACTTCCTGCTCCTTCTCAGCTGGAAAGGAAGATGGTGCGTTGACATTTATTATCATTCATCTTTGCTTCTTCCTTCAGCTATTCTCCATTCACATAGAGACTATAAACATCATGGTTCTCAAGGTGGCTACCTCTGAGTCTTTGTGG